TCACAATCCACGCATTCACCGACATATCGTTGTACACTCTTGAATAGTCCTCTCCAATGGAAACATTCCCGGATCCGTTGGTAGGTCCGACCAATGCCCTGATGTCCGCCTTCCAAGCTAGCGTGGTAGTGGTGTAGGACATCCTGTTGCAAGGTTTCTGGCATCACCAATCTCATCAAATCATCCCGATCCTCGTGGACTCTCTTCGTAGGGGGGCAATAGAAGAGCAAGTCGTTCAGATCCACTGCGTAATCCGTAGCGATAACGCTGTAGGATTTGGCATCCTCCCGACTTAAGTCTCGTACATCCCCCATCAGATACTTCTTTAGTCCCAGGATCCACGCTTCCTCATTCTGTGCTTTGAGGATCCGCTCGATGCGAACTCTCTTCACGAATGTTTCCTCGAGGATCGGGGGGGCTGGATCCAATCTTTCCTCTGGACCTAGTGACAGCCATCACCTGGACTGTCCTTTTCCCGGATCCAACTACCACCACTTCGTCAAGTCGGTTCAACGTAACGAGATCCTGATGTTCGGCTTCTCCCTCCACTTCGACACCACATTGATTCCGTAAAGCGGCACTGGCCAAACTATCCGCACTGGCATTCCAATCTCGCTTGACATGCACCAACTCGTGATTCAACCAACCACGCAGGTGGATCATCACTTTCTGCCGTAACAGTGTTAGGGCCGGGGCCTTGCAGTCAATCTCACCTCGCACCTGTCTGATTACCAAATTTGAATCCCCACAAATCACCAGCCGTTTTGGATCTTGTCCCTTTAGTAAATCCAAACCCAGAAGGAGTCCGTTATACTCCGCTTCGTTGACGGTGAGGCCTTCCGCGTAAGTGGATCTGGCCCGTACAACTTCCCATCCGGGCAGTCTCCACAGTATTGCACTGTATGCTCCTCCTCCGCGTCGTACACGAGCGGATCCATCGAAACTCAGGACGTATAGATCCTCATCCACCTGAACCGTCGGGATCGGGATCTGGATCCGGCGTTTGGGCTCTTTCTTAGGGGCGATCCTAGTCAGCGCCTTATCCATCTTAGCTCGAGGAGTGATGCTCGCGGCCAAGACTCCCAGGATCTCGTCTTCCCCTTTCGAACATTTCACAATATCCAGCGTCCAAGGCGAGAGTAAAGCCGCCCACTGTCCCAAACGTCCTTGCAACCCGGCCGACTTGAACAGCCAGGCTAGCGTGGAGTGTCGAGTCAGGATCCGGATGGATCTTCCCACTAAGAGGTTATAATTTAGATCCAACACGCGCAGGAGCGCAAGTATCTCTTTCTCCACCGCTCCGTAGTTCAGTTCATTCGGCTTCAGTGTCCGGCTGACAAAGGTGACTGGATGACAGATCCCCTCATGTTCTTGCACCAGAGCTGCTGAGACTGCCCAGTCACTGGCATAAACTATTACCGTAGGTTGACGTTCCGGATCGAAATGACGGAGGATAGGCGTGGTCGCGATCCTGTTCCTCAGTTCCACGAATGCGTGTTGAGCTCGGATCCACCGAGATTCTGCCTTTTCCATGTTCTGATCCGTCGTCTCTATCCAGACTGGATCCTCTCTCTGTTGGTCTCGGGGTGGATCCAGCTCCTGTGTTAGGTCCTCTTTTGACGTCATACCACTTGGATCCCTTCGTGGATCCGACATCTCCCGGGCCAGAGCTTGTTGGATTTTCATTCGGGACAGCTTGGAGCGGTTCATCGCCAGCCAAATCTACCCTCTCTTAATTTCATACACACACCGCCGGCCAAACAGGGCGGTAATCTTCGATGAACCGACTGTAGTAGTTCAAACTGCCCAAGAAGGATTGCATCGCTCGTAACGACTGTGGGAAGGACAAATCGACTAATGAAGACAGGTCCTTAGGATTCGCCTCCAATCCCTCCTTGGAAACTCGATGGCCCAAGTAATCCACCTTGCGCATCCTCCAATAGCTCTTAACCACACTGATAGAGAGATTCCACTTAGTACACGCCTCCAGTAGGGATGTCACTCTTTCGCACAACTGATCCCACGATTCCGCCGAA